TGAGTGTGAGTTTTTTGGCTTTATACTTGGCTCAGTCATGGAAAGGTGGCAGTAGCTAGCTAATAATAACAAATAGAGATATGAGTATTTATATTAGTAGATCAGCCCCATTGAAATGCATTTAATACCAGAATAAGCTTGGCGATATTAGTAAAGCAAGCTTTATTTGAACAATAAGTGCTTTATGCAAGATGCCGAAGCATTTCCTAGTCATCAACAGGGCTGCATTCATGCGACGTGCCACGCTTGTGAATGGAGCTTGATTCGTCCTCTAATGCTCCCAAACTTGGATTTAGTGTGGATTTGTGTGTAACCTGTGTCAACAGCACAACGTAACGTTTTTTTGCAAGCCTGGGATAAATTATTAAGCAAACAAGTTACGTTTATTAAAGCATTTATTGTTTTTAACTGTCTAATCTTCAACGTAATAGCATAGAGGGAAAACTAAAGTCAGGTGTAAGGGTGGCAATAAAAACCCTTTAGAGCTTGAAGAATCAGAATATGAAAAAGACTCCAAAAGCAGCACCCAAGAGTTCAAATGACATGTGGTTTAGGTAAGTGAAATGCAAATGAGCTTATTTTACCTTGTTAGGCTCAGCTGTACTTCAGCTTCATAGCAAATTAGATGAAGTAAAGGTTTAAGTTACATAAACTCAAAAAATTGCCTTATTGCGGACTCTTGTGATTGTTGGAGGGATGAAATGTAAAATGCATTTAATTGAAGATGATGGAAATCAGTTGTGATTAGTTCCTCTTTGTATCGGAATGTTGTAAGTCAATATTGGCTTTGAGTTTCAAACTAGTAATATAGCGCTTTAATACAGGGGTCTTCTTTTGATAGTCTCATTTAGGTGAACTCCAAAGGGGAAAGGAAGAGACGGTGCGTTTCATCTTCTGTCAGATCTTAACACCTCACTATCTTGTTAGCACTTGCGTTCTCTTACCCTTGTCAGAACCTCCCTCATCTCTCTGAGCTGGACGTGACTGGAGCCCAAACTAGTCCAATAGAGGTTCTTGCTCTTGCTGCCTAATGAGACCCTCTGGAGAATAAAGAACTTCTCCATCTGTCTCGAGTTATAGATTTGAGTATGATAGCCTCAGTTGTCTCCTCACTTTGCTTGATTTGCTAAAATCATCCGTCTATATACTGTGTAAACTACATGGGTGTAATAAAATACAGATACTTTGTTAAAGGGATAAATGTAAATAAATTGGCTAAATTCTGAAATGCTCATTGTTGCCCCTAGTGGTCTGTTTGTTTCATTACAAGAATAAAAGTTACATTTTGATAGACTTCTGTGTTTGTTTTAACAATGAACCTATTTCTAATTAGTGTTTTGAACAGCAGCGTATAGATTTAAGAGCGCAGCCCTCAGCTCAATTAAATCAATTTCCTCATTAAATTCAATTTGCTGCTGTGTTCACTGTCTTATAAAATAACATGAGGCAGAAAATTAAAATGAGAGCTAGATTGTCAGTCATTCAGTTTCACCTCTCCTTGTAGTTTAAACTTAGTGACTCGACCTTGAACATTTAGCCCATTGGAATGTTTTTTTGTTTTTTTTATCTAAGATGAATTGATGTCCTCCATTTCAGAAAGTTGTTCATTTTTCCCCACACCATCTCTGTGATGGTCTCAAAACACTTCCAAGTATTTGTTTTCTGATCTATTCTCAGACCTGTCATCTGGCATCCTCAAAGGGTTTTATATTGCTTGTGTTCACAATAATTGCAACTTTTTCAGGCATCGTCATCTATCACAGTTTAGGGGGAGTCAGACTTTGAAAATGCCCTGGTTCTCCTCAGAGAGATGAGAAGGCAACCAAACAAAATGAAAATTGTATTTGCTGCCACCCTTCAAGGGACCCGCTGAGAGCTCTTTCAGCAGACACTGAAAGTCACTCGAGCCGGGTGGCCTCAGTGTAAAGATGTGGGGAAATTAGCTGCCAAATTCATCATCTAAATTACCTTGCCGTGCGTTTTCATATAATGGACTATCACGTGTAACAAGATGTCTTCATCTTCCTTTATTACCAAAGACTGTGGGCAGAGCAGTAGTATTTAAGTGTGCATGTAGGAATACGTGAAACAAGGCCATTGTATTAACCTTTATATCTATGTATAACCTCTGACTTTACCCATCTCACCCCCTCATTAGCTGTGTCCTTCAGAGCGGCAGATGGGCTTTATGTGTGTTCACTGACTCTGGGTGATGTCTGGAGGTCATGTCATTGGCTCTCAGAGACACCCCAATGTGCTCTGCATGATAATACAGGTAGTACTACTAGGGTTGAGAATTGAGAACTTTGTACTTAATCTACATCATGGAAAAGACAACACTATCTGGGTTGTCTTATTCCTGAAATTAATGACTGGTTGATATGGTTCTTTTTATTCAATCTGAATAAATCAATCTAGTGTGTTCTAATTCATAACAAATGACTCTGAGTCAGTTCTTTTCAGTGAATCAAACACATACAGCTTTGAAATGACTGTGAGACTTAAATAAGTCTTCATTTGATGTGTATCTATGCACATTATGATTTTTAATCACTAGTCTTTTTTATAATTTATATAGTGTTGATTTTTTAATGTAAGGCCAATTTTTGCCACCTCAAAAACGGCATTACAAATTGTTGTAAATGTATTTTTTATACAGTGTTATTTTAGTGTTATTTACATATTATTAGAATATTTTAATTTTCGTTTTTTTGTCATTTTTATTTTTTTTATTATTATTATTATTATTGCTTTAATTTATATTTATTTCAGTTTTAGCTTTAGAAATATTAGTATGTCAACCTGAAGTATTTTATTTCTGTTAGTGGCCAAGGGAACATTTCTAATGTTTCTATATTTTATTTCCGCCTTTTTAAATTAACGGAAAACTTTTTTTAACATATTTTAAGGTTTAATTAACAAAAACAACAATAGAAATCTCAGAACTTGACAATGAACTTGTACTTATTTTTCCCCAAATATTTACTCTTTTCTGTTAAAGATCTGAAACCAGTAAATATATATTACTGTGGCATAAAGAGAAGCAGCAGGTGAATACAGACATGTCAAGAGGTGTGAGAACAGTCTCTATATCTTTGACCTGTCATCTCTTGTCATCATTTGACGATCACAGCACTAGCTCCAGGGGTTGTATAAGGGGTTCTCATCGGCTCAATAGAGCTTGCCGCCTGAGGTCAAACTACACCAAGTTCTCATATTGTCTTATTCAAGATTGGAAATGCCTGTAAACAGTATGCCCCGACTTCTATACACCCTCACCTTGGTCACTTTCCTTTATACAAGATGAACAAATTCAATCAATCTGACTGTCGTGTTCTCATCTCTGTAATACTGAGTGCTCTACTGCACACTAATTCATTTAATTAAAAGAAGAGCACTTAATCTAGAAAGTTAATCTACTGGCACTTAGCTGTTGCAAGAAAGTACAAGGAGTCTGTTGATGAGAAGCAGTATTCGTGCAAAACAAACATGTACTGAAATAATTCAGATTTAGCTTTGAGATCATTACCTGAAAGTACTGACAACTGGCCAAGTAGGATGTCTTCTTGGAACAATATTTCTATGAAAATTACAATTCTATCCAAGCATGCAGTCATATAAACATTCTGGCAGATATAGACAAGCTGATATTTATTGGCTTATTATGGCTATAAATCTCTACTCTTTTGTTTATAAAAAAAACATGTATTGCAAATTATAATATTCAGAATGGAATATAATTAGAAACTTTAGATTAGGGTCCAACTAGCAGTTAACTAAGACAAGCTCATAATTACGGAGTATTAATATTTGTTTGGTAAGGAAGCTGTTAAGGATGTAGAATAATGTCATGCAGAATAAGGCATTAATATGTGCTTTATAAGTAGTAATGAACAGACCTATAATACAGTATGCATGCTAATAAGCAACTAGTTATTAGGGAGAATTGGGCACTAAAGTGTCCCCAGATAATATCTAATATCTATCAATATATTATGTATTCTTATATTACTACTACCTGTCATCTCTTTCACTGGTGTAACTGATATTTCTAAATAAATAGCCCTCGTTATACTTTGACCTCTCCAAGCAATCACATTAGAGGTGGTGAGGTTGAAGTGTGTGATTGTTTACAGACGGTATTCCTCTGCTAAGGTTTTGACAGGTAGGAGTTATGCTGTTGATTCTCTGCTTTGCGTCCCGGAGTGTGTTGTTTGGTTTATAAGCATGATGTATGTGAAGGCTGACACTATACTGCTAGAATGTTTTATCTTAGCATGCAGTACTATAGAAATTTAGGCGCTAAATAGAGACTGAATGTGCTATAGAGGCTGAAAGTCACAGATTACACCAAAGCACCAAGGAAAATACTACCCTAATCAATTTAAGGAAGACCGTTTCCTGAACGTCCAAGTTTTATTTTTATTTTTTTGCAGCAAGTGTTTGAAATCATTGCTATTTACTTATCTTGACAGAGGTGCATCATACCACAACGTGTTGCTATAAACATAGTCGTTTGCTTTTATACCTCCACACTAGTTATAAAGTTCAGCTCGTGACCTCACGTGTAAGCTTGTGGAAGTGGATGATGGGATTTACAATGGACTTTGATTTGTGTCTGGAAAAACACAGTTGCATGTGTTGTGTCTACTGTTTAAAGTGGTTAATGCTGGCCTGTAGAAAATCTTTTCTTCATAGTTATGCCTTAACAGACCATGTACCTTGAAATAATGATAATAAACATCTTTCCATTTAATGCAACAGAACAGGACAATTCAAATGACTCTGAGTCGGTTCTTTTTAGTAAATCAAAAACATACCACGTAACCAGTGTAGTCTGATTCTTCAACAACTGACTCATTGAATCATAATGAGAATTGAATCAAAATCCGAATCCCTGCTGGTATGCCTCATTTAATCGACAGTATGAACTGTTTATGCTCCTTTTTTGTCTATTCTAACCCACAATACTTACAATTTCTTTCTTTTTCCCTGTACAGTGTGGAAGGTGAGGCTCCGGGCGGTGAGGCGGGCCCCTCTCTAGAGAACAGTGGGGGTTACTTACGAGGGCCGGTGAGCCGCAGTGCCATCATCAGTGGCGAGCACTTCGACGGCCCACCACTGTACGCTCACGAGGTACGGCAGCGCCCCCGGCGACCCAAACTCCAGCATTCCCAGTCGATCCTACGCAAGCAGGCAGAGGAGGAGGCCATCAAACGCTCCCGATCACTGTCTGAAAGCTATGAGCTCTCCACCGACCTCCAAGACAAACAGGTAGAGTTCTTCAGGATCTTTAACTGGAAGGCTACCAAGAAACCATAAATTCTCCACCAACTATTTGTATTCACTTTTGCGATGAGCCATTTTGGTGCAGAGGGAGTGTGATTGAGGTTCAGTGGCTTCAGATTATACTTGATGTACTTCCCCTCAAAGGACTGTGTAAATAAATCCACTTTATTGTAGTTGGTTGAACATAAATTCCTTGCTTGTGGTGACTGCATGTCTTTCATATGAAGTAATTTAATACACCCAAAGGCTGATATGAGATCAATGAGAGCCTTTTTGGATTTGGGAGATGAGAATCATTACTCAATGCATGCTGGGAGAGCGATTCATATTCAGAGTGGTACTATCCAGAGGCGTGCTGCCCACCGTCTCTGTGTGAGGTCCCAAAGAGCCGAGAAATTTGATTAGTTCTGCCATTTCTTCAGGCTAAAAAGGTCTTGGGCTGGCTTTAGCTTAGGTACCAAGCTAAAGGCGTTCTTCGGTCCTCAATGCCTTTATAAGGGGATGAAATGGTGAGTTTTATCCATCCTACCTGGCAAAATACCCAAGCTTTATTATTAGTACCATGTGTGGCTTTTGTTTGTCTTTTTTATTTATGTGGCTTACCATTTTGGACTTGAGCTTTGGTCAACTCATGTTGTGTCATGGGAGGGAAGACAAAATGCTATTTAAGTCCCATCAACAACAAAATTCTATAAGACTAAAGGAGGGACATTCGTTCATGTACGTTTGCTACTATCACTAAAAGTGGTGCATAATCGTTGTGTGTTTCCACAGGTGGAAATGCTGGAGCGCAAGTATGGAGGACGTTTTATAACCCGACATGCTGCACGCACGATCCAGACTGCCTTCCGCCAATATCAAATGAATAAGAACTTTGAGCGCCTCAGGAGTTCTATGTCGGAGAACCGCATGTCCAGGCGCATAGTTTTATCCAATATGAGAATGCAGTTTTCGTTTGAAGGACCTGAAAAAGTCCATAGTTCCTATTTTGAGGGGAAGCAAGTGTCTCTTACCGACGATGGTTCTAAACTAGGAGCCTTGGTGCAATCGGAGCGCGGGGAAATGGTCCCCGCCAACATAAAGTCGCCTGTGGGCCAGAGCGATTTCACGGATGCCATTACTGAGCTGGAGGACGTTTTCTCTCGACAAGTGAAGTCTTTGGCAGAGTCCATAGATGACGCTCTGAACTGTCGCAGCCTACATGGTGACGAGGGACAGCCAGAGTCAACCAGAGGACATCCAGACATAGAGAAAGAGGTTACCTACCAGGTCAAGCCTTCCCACATCAGTGACCACCGTAAGCGAGATGAGATGACAGCATCCTACAGTGATGTGACACTTTATATAGATGAGGAAGAGCTCTCCCCTCCTCTTCCTTTAACACAATCAGTTGAAAGACCCTCTAGCACAGAGTCAGATCTTCGCCTACGTTCATTGAACTCCTCACAGGATTACTGGTCTCTAGCTCATAAAGATGAAAAGGGCGACACGGACACTAGCTGCCGCAGCACCCCGTCTCTGGAGTGTCAAGAGCAGAGATTGAGAATAGACCACCTACCCCTGCTAACTATCGAACCCCCCAGCGATAGCTCAGTTGAGCTGAGCGACCGCTCTGACCGAAGCTCCCTCAAAAGACAGAACGCTTACGATCGGACCATCGCCAGCCAGCAGGGCAGCCCAAAACACATCCCCTCTCACGCGCTCCCACCACGGGGACCTGCTAGAGATGACGAGGCTCCTCGGCATCGGCCGCGGCAGCTGGAAAGCCACCTGGCAATCAATGGCACCGCCAACCGGCAGAGCAAATCAGAGTCGGACTTCTCTGACGGCGATAACGACAGCATCAACAGCACTTCCAATTCCAACGATACCATCAACTGCAGTTCAGAGTCCTCATCCAGGGATAGTCTTCGAGAGCAGACTCTCAGCAAGCAGACGTATCATAAGGAGACACGCAACAGTTGGGACTCCCCAGCGTTCAGCAATGATATCATCCGCAAGAGGCACTACCGCATTGGCCTGAACCTTTTCAACAAGTAGGTGAAGTATGAATGCATGCCTTTGGTTGTAGAAAGCTTGTTGGGAGAAGAGTATATGGGTGGAGTTTGCGTAAAACATCCAAATCCACTCTAGGTTTTTTCATTTTTTGTTATAAGCAAACTTCAAATTCGGTTACTGTAAAGGCGCAGTCACATTAGCAAAACTTTGGCTACATTTTGCTGACAAATTAGGTCCATTGTTAATAGTGTAGAGAAACAGCATGAAACTCAGCATACTAACAGGATCGCTTCCAAATATTCAATTCTATTATACTTAACATGTTTTGTAAACCTTAAACGCTACAATTATGCATTTGACAGATGTCTTTATCCAAAGCGATTTACATTCAAGTGATCACACCTATGACTTTTGACCGCCATGCTCTACTGTTTTAGCTACAGGAACGCACCTCACGACAGGCAAAAATGATGCTCCTCATTCCCACACCGCTTACATAATTTTGGTTGGGAGGGTCATGTTTCATTTGTATTGAGTAATGATTTTCATTAGCACCAATCAGAGCTGTGTTATTAGCTGTGTTTTTTTAATTATCGTCTAAACCAAGCGCACAATGCACAGTAGTCATGTGTTTTCCTTTTCCAGACAGTCATTATAATTTTGGCGCGTTTATTTATTCAGTACGTGCCTGTGCATTTGGTGCTGTCTGATTGATTGCCACTCGGTGCTCTAAATTTGATTAGCGATCAAGCAATTAGAACCATGATGAGAGCATTGCTGATCAAAGAAAGCACACAGTCCTCATAACCACAGTTTACCATCTTGCTCTGTGTACTTAAGACGAATGTCATTTTTTTAAGCTTCTTACAGAAGTGTAGGGTTGATCTTTTTTTTTTTTTTTGATCAGATTAAGATTAAGTGAAACTGTACATGTCTGTACATGTTTATATGCCAGTATGTGTGTGTGTTTGTTCATTTAAAGCTTTGCTTTAAAGGGGCCTCTAATCCTAGTCTTTGCACTGGGCCATTACTTTCCTTTTAATATAATGTTGTTGTTTTTTTTTAGTTTGACAGGGACATTGTATATTAATAAAAAATTCATGTAAATGTACCAGGATTAGCCGAAGGCTATTTTTAATTCGTAGTTCCTGGAGAAGATAGTCAACCTAAAGAAAAAAATATTAAGAATACATAATAGAAAAATTGAATAGTTACACAATACAATAAAATCTATTTAAAAAAAATTGGATCAATTAAAAACAATGCTGCAAAATACAAACAATAATAGGATGGCTAGCAGATATAAGATTGTAATGTTGGAAAATCTCAGTACTGATTAACCAATTCTTCAATTGAACCCTAAATACAGTGTATATGTCTAGATCTCTAATAGTTGTCGGAATAGTATTCCATTCTTGTGCAGCTTTGGCAGAAAAACCAGACTAGCTAAATTTACTATGTTTAAATGGTATGAACCTTGTAGAACGATAATCAGTTACTCTAATACGAACTAGCTGACAAACAATAAATAACTGTATTCATCAAGCATACATTTGCATCTTTAACCATTACCATATTTTGTGGTAAGAACAACAACGTTCTTGATCTGAGAGCTGCTTAGTCACACATTGGGACCAGTAAATGCACTGTTCAAACTCTTGATCTTCTTTTATTGTCTCTAGGAAACCTGAAAAAGGCATCCAATACCTGATCGAGCGAGGATTTGTCCCTGACACACCTGTGGGAGTTGCCCATTTCCTGTTACAGAGAAAAGGGCTGAGTCGACAGATGATTGGCGAGTTCCTGGGCAACAGGCAGAAACAGTTCAACAGAGATGTTCTTGAGTAGGTTCCGAAAATTTAACTGGGTTAATTGGGTGTATTGTATAAAAATAAAAAATAAAAATCATCCAAAGTGAGATATACTACAAAGCCAAGTTATTTCAAATATAATACGCAGACATTTCCACGCGCATAACACGTTTTGTTTTGTTTTGTGCATGTTACAAATTCTCCATCATGATAATCTTGCATTTTAAGATCCTCCTTTGTAATTTTGCTTTTCACTATCCTTCACAATCCTTACTACATAAGAATTCACTAGTTAAAGCTAATATCACTGGAGCCTGTATGAATTTGTGTTCCCTCATGAGACAAACTGACCACCATGTGTAAGCCTTCCAAGCTCTTGTGGCTTTGAGCGCATGGAGTATCAAAGGTGGAAAACATCATAGTCTATTGTCTCAGAAATGGGTTTTTTACAATTGTATTGTGTACCCATAGCCATTAAGCATCCTCTTTTTTTATAAAGAGTGCATTTAGGATCAAAGGTGGAAAGCATCACATTCTATTGTCTTTGAAACTGTTTTGTTCTTATTGTAACCACAACCATTTGCTGTAATTGTTAGTGTCACTGTGAAATTAGTAAGCATAATGACAAATGATTATTCCAGCCAGACCTCTGATGAATGATATATGGACTCTTACACTGCTTTATATTGTATATATTGACTGAGATGTCTGGGTTCGTACTTTTCAGACACCATGTGTCTGAGAATGAATCAACTCATTTTCTCTCAAGTTAAGTCATCCTCCCTTTTCAGTCTGAAAGTAACAGTCAAGATAATAGGGACCGATAAAACCATGCAGTCTGTGTTCAGCACTTTTTTTTAAAGGCACTTCCTTAAAATCAGTAAATCTTGACATGCCAGATTAAATGGACTCTGAGTATCCCTGGAGCAAAATGTCCCTCAGGTTTCTTTGTATCCCCCACGATTGTGATTTAGAGACTGATAGAACTTGCTTTTATCTGAAAGACTAAATTTGACTAAAAGCAATGACCACTCTCGGTTTAAAATATCGTCATGTTTGCTGTGATCAAATACGTGGAATAGAATGTAATTTTGTATAGAAGATTCGATTCATCACGAATATACTGTGGTGTAGGAAAGAAAGCGGCAGTTCTTTGAATACTCTGTTCTTTATCTTTTTTCCAGCTGTGTGGTAGATGAGATGGATTTCTCTGGAATGGAGCTGGATGAAGCCTTGAGAAAATTCCAGGCGCATATCCGGGTGCAGGGAGAGGCACAGAAGGTCGAGCGACTCATTGAAGCCTTCAGGTGAAAAACAATTCAATTGATGCTTTAATGTGTTGCAAACAAAAGCATATTTAAAGGGATAGTTCACCCAAAAATAAAATCAGTCATGTCATTCTAAAATGGCATAATTAGATCCGTCCGATTTGTGAATGACTCATTCAGACCTGTTTTGTGAACTGGCTCAAATGATACACACTGAAAATAATATTTTGTAATGAATCTCAAAGAGAGAGTGTGGAAATCAAGATTTTCATTGGATACTGACAAAACACTATTTCTTTGGGGATATTCAAATTAATTAACCAATCATTATCACCATTGATCAGCTTTGATACCAGCTTTGATGGTTTTAATACCAAAACATCAACCAAACATGGATGTTTTTCCACTTTTCCACAAATGAATATTGTTATTATGCTTTGATTGATACTGTGTAGCTGCTTTGATTTGACCTGACAAATGTCGGTCTGCTCCTCTAAAAAAAACTACAACGTTGCTTCAGAAGATGTGGAATTTAGCTCATGAGTCATATGAACTACTTTTATAATACTTTAATGAGGCTTGTTTGACATTTTTTGAACTTGACAACCTCAGCGTTAATGTTCATTTTATTGAAAAGAGTGGACAGGATATTCACTTAAAATTTGCCTTTTGTGCTCCACATTGACATAATATATGAGAGAATTTAATTTTTTTGTGAACTGTCCCTTTAAGAGAAGCTTGGTAATTACATAATGAAAATGGCTTTAAAGTTCATTTTTGTTTATATCCCATAAGAAGTCTCTAGGATAGTTTGTTTTCTTGGCATTTATTAGATCGCACCAACTCAAAAGCATAATACACTCCCTCAGCCCTCAGAGAACATTGTTCGATCGGATCTCAAGGACTGTTTGTCATTTGAGTGATCGCACCAGCTTACAATGAGTACGAAGATCACTCCGACGGTTGCCTTCACCACCCTAAGACCCAAAAAATATTGTTATTGCTAAACCCTTTCAGCCAGACATATTCTTTCTGAATGAACTGTTTAAAGTCCATTTAAGTGTTATCTAAGAGAACATAGCTCTTTACCACGATGGCAGTTTTACCATTCTCTGATCATGCTAGTGCATCCAGAACCAATTACTCACTAGAGCAACTATTGATTCTGTGGAAGTGGCGTCTCATATTAATGCTTCACTTTGTTCATTTGTTGCTGTTTTTCATTTCCATTCAGTCAGCGCTACTGCATCTGCAACCCGGGGGTGGTACGTCAGTTTAGGAACCCAGATACCATCTTCATCCTGGCGTTTGCCATTATACTCCTCAACACAGACATGTACAGCCCAAACGTGAAGCCGGAGAGGAAGATGAAACTGGAGGACTTTGTAAAGAACCTTCGTGGTGAGATTCACATTACACACATTATACTGCAACAGAATCTATTTCATCCATTGTTATTCAGAGGTGTTATACTACAAAAGAGAATACTTAAAGGGATACTCCATTTTTTATTTATTTTTTATTTTTTTTGGAAATAGGCTCATTTTACAACTCCCCCAAAGTTAAATAGTTGAGTTTTACCGTTGTAGAATCCATTCAGCTGATTTTCTGATATTTAGAACAATGTCAGTAATCCGACAGTTTCTGGTCTCAATGACTTCCATAGTAGGAAAAAATATATTATGGAAGTCAATGGGATCAGAAACTGTCTGGTTACTGATATTCTTCTAAATATCAGAAAATTGGCTGAATGGATTCGAAAACGGTAAAACTTGGAGTTGTAAAATGAGCCTATTTCCAAAAAAAAGTGGAGTATCCCTTTAAATGTGCTCAAATTATTATTATATAGAATTATGGATTTACAAGATTGCTCACTACTGCACTATGTTGGTTTGTTTGTATGTATGTCTGACTGTTAAATTAAAAAAAATAAATAAATAAATGTGCTCAAATTAAGCTTAGTACATGTGCTTTAAACTGATTAATGGTCTCATTGGGATAGCAATGACATCTTTCTGGTCACAACCTTGCATAATAATTGGAGCAAAGCAAACAGCGATTCACCTTTAACTTAGATATGTTAATAATATACTCTCATTGTGCTTCGAATTCTTTCCTAAAATTTCTGTAAATCATTTACGTGTCCTAATTATCCATGGGCTTTTATTGCAAAGGGGTGGATGATGGCGAGGACATCCCTCGAGAGATGTTGGTGGGCATCTATGAGCGAATCCGGAAACGAGAGCTTAAGACAAACGAAGACCACGTGTCCCAGGTGCAGAAGGTGGAGAAACTCATTGTTGGCAAGAAGCCGGTGAGTGTCATGGTCACTTTTGTCTTCCACACTTCTATCCAAAGTAACTTGCAGTGCCTTCATTGCAGGAGCAGTCCGTCTCTATCCATCATGTTGTGAACTTCCATTGACCCCGGTTCTAGAAATGACGCTTTATCGATTCCAGTCATGGTCCACTGATGTGAAATGATCCAAACCCTTTGGTTAAACATGTTCATTCCCCCCAACTTTTGTGTGTTTGTATGCTTACTCCATGCAGTATAGATCTATAGGTTTAATCATTCCGTCAGTCACCCTTTTTTTTTGTCCTCAATAAGCACATGACATTGAGACTCTGAGAAGGTTCTTTATCTACAAGATGTTCTCTTTTATGACAGATCTAATATCTCAAGACCTTCACGGTATCTGACTGTGCATGCATGTAAGTCATGTGGGAAGGGTTGCGTGATGCTCTGCAGTGATAAATGGGATTTGCTTTTCCACAAAAGCCTTAAGAATACTCTAAAGATGAAATCCACTGACAGGTAGAACTGACAGGCTGAACTCAACCACCTTTTCATGCAGTACAGCGAGTTACAACCATAGAAATTATTCAGAGGAGGAACCATGTTCAATGTGATGCAAAATGAAAATGATAGACAAGTGGGTTTTTTTGTTTTGGCTAAATGATTAATAAAAAAATCGATTTTTGAATTAAATGTATTATTTTTTATCAATATATTGATTTTTTTATCAATATATTGATTTTTTTTATTATTATTATATTGCTTTTTGTGACTCTTTAAATAGTATAAAGTTGAAAAGAACAGCATTTATTTGAAATAGAAGTCTTGATCAATTGAATGTGTGTCCTTGTCTTTGTTGATTTAAAATAAAAGCATGTAGTTTGTTAGACGACTAGTTAATGCATCTATGCAAGGCAAGTTTATTTATGTAGCACATTTCATACACAATGGTAATTCAAAGTGCTTTACATACATACAATAAATTAAAATATTTAAAAGAAATCAGAGTAATTAAAACAGTTTAGAATAGTAAAGGCCATAGTCTACCCTAACTAAAGTCTGTTAGCTTGATGGATGTATATCTGGAGAGTGGTATCTTAAGAAAAGTGTTGAAGATAAGTACAATATACATCATGCCTCCAACAGAGTTGGTCTCTCCCAAGAATAAATTAACTGAAGCTGTTGCATCTTCATGCCTGTCACACAGTCGGATTTGGAAGCACTGTGGGTTTTCAGAGCTGAAATAATTAACATTTTAAGCTGTAATGGAATTGGTACACATGACTTAGCTGCCAGTAAAGCCTTCTCCCTGTTGTATCTTCCACACATCTTTGGAGAGGACATAATGGAGATCTCCTGTGGAGCTCAAATAGAAGGCTTCTGTGCCCGAGACCCCTGCCTACAGACACTGCATCTCGGGCGCTGTAATTAGGTTTCTCGAAAATGGGCGAGACTTCCTGTCACAGTTTCAAGAAGCAGCAGTTTGGCTCCTCATTAACCTCCCTTCTCACCCCATTCATACAGTACAGCTCACATATGACAGGTAGACGGAGGGGGTCTTAATAACGAGAGAGAGAGACCACTCTCTGACCTTCAAGCCTCCCTTCAGTCTTCTCGCTTTAATTCTTACTCATCCGTCTCGTGTTTTTCTCTTTTCAGATTGGCTCTCTGCACCATGGCCTTGGATGTGTAAGTATAACGTTTACTTTTTTTTTTTATTCCATTGATGCCGTTCAACAATTTAAATCTTACAATTTTTTTTTTTTTTTTGCAAAATACATATGTTTTAATCAAATAAATGATTTATATATACATTATGAAATAAAACCTAATAATTTTTATATCTATTTTATGTTACTAACTGAATTATTTATTCTATATACTCTATATACTATCTGCTATTTTTTGGGATAAAATAAGTGAAAGTAGTATCCTTCATTATGGTCAGTTTTTCAAGTATAATGTTGTAGGTTGGAGGGTTGGAATAAATAAATATTATTTTAAAAATGTATTATTAAAGAAAATCAATGATTAGACCTATTTTATGTTACTGCATACTAGAATATAGTGTATACTGTATGCTATCTATGATTTCTTAAAAAAAAATATTTTGCACATTTTAAAATAGTATGCTACATTGTTGTCAATTTATCTTGTTTTTACCTAATTTAAATGTTTTTGTAGAATTTGACAGTCCAGTCAAATATCAAATCAGGAAAAAATATGTTAAAAATATTGGAACTGGTAATGGCAGGGCAAGTCGAGTGCATTGCATTTTTGGATACAGCTTTCTATGCAGTATGCTCTATAGTATACTGCTTTTTTATTCAGTGTCATCTGGTTATTCTATACATACAGAAAATGTGTGTACTCTGCAGTGTACAGTATATAAATACGTACTATATACTGCAACAATACTTTATATTCTGAACATGTCTAGGATCTTATTTATGGACCAGGTTCGGACTAAGCGATATTTGTTGCCCACATACAGGTGCTGTCCCTACCACATCGCAGGCTGGTATGTTACTGCAGGCTGTTCGAAGTGCCGGACCCTAATAAACCTCAGAAGTTGGGTCTCCACCAGAGAGAGATCTTCCTGTTCAATGACCTTTTGGTGGTAAGAAAGCACACGCATCATAGCCCAAGACACATGAAAACAGAAAAAAAATGAGAGCGAACAGTCTTCCTGTACATCATAGCGTCTTTTGTTATGTTGTTATGTTCTTGTTGTTATGATGGTGTAATGGTCAGCAAGACATTCTTAGCCCAATTCTAGCTTAGTAAGTGTACATCATGACAGTCAGAAAGTGTTACTCAGCTTTTCCGGAGGCTTAAAGGGAAGATAATTAGGAGCAGATGGAGTCCTAATCTGACTGCTTTTGATTCAGGTCACTAAGATTTTCCAGAAGAAGAAGAATTCGGTGACGTACAGCTTCAGGCAGTCCTTCTCTCTTTATGGGATGCAGGTGCTTCTGTTTGAAAACCAGTGTAAGTACTCTCAGCGAAGGGTCAAAGCCCCTTTGACCCCATATTACCATTTTCTGGACTATGTTGAACCTTATTCATACAGTTTGATTGCACACTCTCACTTTCATACTGCCGTGTCATGTAAAAACCAGGCTCCGGAAAACACGAAACAGGTGTTAAAGGTCATGAAATCCTTTTGCTTTTAATCGAAAACAAATTAATTCTCAAAGTGTTGGGTATTAGGATGTATTCTCCCACAAAAAGATTAAAATCTCTGTCATATGCGATGTTGAAATGTGAGAATATCGATTAGCCTGTCACTCTGAAAAGGGCACGTCTGAGTGCCGTCATGATCCGCCAGTGTGTAAATATTCCCCTCCCGCCGCTGCTTTTCAGATTACCCCAATGGAGTGCGTCTCACTTCAGCTCTTCCAGGCGCGGACATTAAGGTTCTCATTAACTTCAACGCCCCCAACCCGCAAGACCGCAAGAAGTTCACAGATGACCTGCGGGAATCCATCGCAGAGGTGCAGGAGATGGAGAAGTACAGAATAGAGTGTAAGCAGCTCTCATTCACTTTCATTATGTTGGAAAAGAGTGACCAGGATAGTCTATATGGGTCTCAAACAATATGCTGCTTTTTCAAATAACTTGTACTACTTTCCCTGTCTAATGTTCGTTGCACTGAAGTAAAATGACATGTGAAGTAACATGTCAATGTTTTTTTTTTTCACAGCTGAACTGGAGAAGCAAAAAGGCGTGGTCCGTCCCAGCATTTCCCAGAGCTCAGGTCTAAAGAAAGACACGGGAAATGGCAATTTGAGTCGCACCAGTCTGGATGACAGCTACGCCATAGGTGAAGGCCTCAAGAGAAGTGCCCTCAGCAGCTCCTTACGTGACCTTTCAGATGCAGGTGAGTGTACAGACCCACATGACATGATGTGCTTTTGGCTTTATCTGTCACAACCTCTGATTATTTTGTGCAGTCTTGTCCAAACAATACTTCGCCTCTTGCCAAAGTAGAGCGCTGAATGCTTGCTTCTAAATTGGTGTTTTTCCACAACCATTAGTGTAGCCTCAATTATTTTTTAATTAGAGCTGGGTGATATATCAAATACTCACAGGATTTTATTGCCAATTTAAAATTAATAATTTGATTTGTTTAATGTGTTCTTATTGGACCATTAGTTATTCTAAAGACTTTGCCATTTTGATTAGTTTCATGGTCCTTGTCTAGTGAAAATCAGTATTGGGAAAGCATGTTCCGATTATTTATTTTTCTTATTTTTACCAGTTTTGTTATTGTAAACTAAAACCAAAATAATTTATTTTTTTTTGGTAATTGAAATATAAATATTAGATGAAAAACATAACCCTATATCACCCAGCCCTGTTATGAATGTCCTTCGCCATGGCTAATGACGCAGCTAGAAGCATCCTGACAAATATTATCCTCCACATTGGTTTTTCCCACTCTGTAAATGAACCTTCACACAATTTGCGAGCTGTGATATCTTCTCACTCTATTCAGCAGATGCTTTTGAGCCCTAAACATGGCAGTCACTACACAGGAAAAAAAAATGGATAGTGTGAAGTGTGACCTCACATGCCTTCTCTGTTAGAACAATCAGTTCACAGCGTAGTCACACTCCTTAAGTGTGAATTGAACTCGACCAAGCTGGTCGTTGAGTCTGACGACAGGAGACACTACACATGAGAAACTGAGAGATATCTGGAAAAGCTATGAATATCCAACTGAAGCACTGAAAATGTGTGCAGTATCTTGCACTGTATTATAATGTGTTAAGAAGAATCTAGCTCTGCTAACATTGTCATTCTGTCATTCAATACTTATTTCAGATTGACGATTGTTTCATACTGCTAGTCTGAGCTGCCACATTTGTATTTGACCATACATCAAAAAAGAATAATAATTTTTTTTGTACTGTTTTTGCTTTTTTATTTTTTTGTCCATTTGCTTCGGTGGATCTAGTTTAGGGATTGGGGCTTGCACGATATAGGACAAAAACGTTGCGATGTTTAGAAATAAAATTAGAACGAGTGGGGTGATTTTGTTGGAGATTGCAAAATAAAAATGATTTAAAAAGCTGGACAACTCCGGAAGAATCTTCTTCTTGTGGGAACCATTTTGGGGGGTTGATCTTTTTTTTCCACTTGGGTTTACTTGGTTTAATATATATAACTTTAAGTTTGCAGTTCAGAATAAATTCAGAATAAAATAATAATTATTGTGATTATTATTAAATGATATATTAACCAAAATAAGAATATATTGTAATACTAATATTTATATCTTATTTTTTATTTATTTTTTTCATTTTCAAACATTAAACCATCAAGCTTTTATTCCATTCAATCGAATTCAATCCAGTTTGATTGTGGTCCGGTGAAGCTCTGTATCATGTGATTGAGCATTGCCGCTCTGGAGCCGGTAGCGCGTATATTTACTGAATTACATTGCATATCAATTTTAATTTGGTATATTGTGCAGCTCTAATAGGAATCTTCAGTTTGCTTGTAGTCATCAAAACCCAGTTTGCTTAAGACACTTGTTGAAGATGTAGCTGTACTATGCTTCTTGATGTTAGGACCAGTGTACCCTCATCCTCTGGCCCTTTAAAAGCTCCCGAACCCACCTGGCTCTACCCTCCCTCCCTTTTCAGACTACGGCTGCTTGCTTCATGTCTCAATAGCGCCCCTGTAGGCAGGCAGGGTATATATATACGCTTCTACATGCGCCTCTATAAATCTGACTGTTCAGCGCGCTCTAATCTATCATATTGCATGTCTCGCTCAGGCAAGCGGGGGCGCCGCAGCAGTGCAGGATCTCTAGACAGCAATATGGAAGTAAGTACCGTGATATAGGATGCAAGAACCTACAACAGGCCACTATTCTGTGTGACAATGTTGCATTTTGAAACTGCAACTTTGCTTTGTTTATTTCTTTCTTTCTCTGGCCTGTTCCATCTTTTTTTTTCTTTTTGGTTGCTTCTTTGCTCAGTAGTTTCAACTATCTGTATGTGTGTGGTGTTGTTTTTGGACTAAGTAGGCCACCCTGCATGCATGAGCAGCCTGTTCCTGTGGAGCTTATGTGGAATGACGGGCAATTCTGCCCCCGTGGCTCACATCACATATCATAACATCTCCACGGTCCAACTTAGTCAGCATGATTCAACTAATGCAAACATCCCATGTCACGTACAGTGGGCTGCGTTGCCTTGTTCCTTTGTAAAATGTTTTATTTGATTCCCGATGGCATGTTTCACTTGGCAGCTGCAAGTGAACAATAGTGTTCTGTTAGAGTACTTCAAAAAGTGCCAGGCTTCATTTCCTCACCGACCTCCAACCACTTGACCTCTTCCTCTCCAGCCCTAAAGCACCTTTTACCTTTTGGAATGCCTCGAAATCTGTGTGCAGATAAGAATGAGAAACAGGGGAGGGAGAATAGCAAAGGATCGACGCTATAACTGACTGGATTTGGATCGTATAGATTATCACATGTGCCTGTTTGATTGACAGCCTATCCTAGAATGCAGGAATGCCCATATGCTCGCTTTAACATCACAAAATGCTGACTAACTCAATCTTGCCTGTTTCAGCTTTTGCATGTAATGCATGGCTTTCAGGGATCTGCTTCTTTTCTAAATGCATTAACTGCTGATGGATGATCATGATGCATTGCTTGAGTGCTGGGTCCTTGTTTGATATAAAAGGAATGATTTTTGAGTACTTTTATCTTTATGTGATACTGTTTGGGGAATTAGCTTTCTGGTCTGTGTTACAGTACTGTTCAAAATGTTTGGGATCGGTAAAATTATTTTTAATAATTTGAAAGAAACTTGTACGATGCATTAAAAGTGACAGTAAAGACATTTATAATGTTATAATAGGTTCCTATTTCAAATAAATGCTTTTTCTTCAAAAAAATAGTTTCCACAAAGGCAAGGCAAGGCAAGGCAAGTTTATTTATATAGCACATTTCATACGCAATGGCAATTCAAAGTGCTTTACATAGAAGAAATTAAAATAATCAAAAGAAATCAGAATAATTAAAACAGTTTAGAATAAAAAATAAGAAAATAAAAAACAAATAAAAAACAAAAATAAATATTAATGCAGCACAGCTGTTTTTAATATTGATAATTATAATACATTTTTTTATTGAGCTGCAAATCAGCATATTAGAATTATTTCTGAAGGATCATGTACACTGAAGACTGGAGTAATGATGCTGAAAATACAGATTTGCCATCACAGGAATAAATTACCATTATTTTAAAATGTAGTAGTTATAAAAAAATAACTGTTTTTACTTTATTTTGGTCAAATGAATGCAGCCTAGGTGCACATAAGCCTATCAAAAATATTTAAACATAACAAGACCCCAAAATATTTAATATAAAATACAAAATATATAATATAAAATACTTAAACAGGACCCCAAACTTTTGACCGGTAGGGTATTTCTGACCTATGACTTAAAGTATATGAAATATTTCATTATTAGTGATGGGAATCATTATGAATTGAATTGAATTCCACTTCTTTTGATTCTGAATCTACCGGATGTTTTTTTTTTTCTTCCAACAAATATACTAATCAAAACTTTTTAGTTACATTTCAATGCTTTTTATTAATAAATAAAGTGCAATTTATCATGTCAAAGCTCTGCTTTGAATGTGTCTTTAACTACACATTGCTTTATAATCAACTAGTCAATAACTCCACTGATTTAAGTGCCACAGTAACAATTTATGGTTCTTCTTGATTTGGACATGACAAAAGGAATGACTTCAGTTCATGAATGAAATCGAATTATTCAGTGAGCGAGCCATTAGACTGATTAAAACCAATAACTAATGGGTCCAGAACTCATTTGTGAGTCCTTTTAATGACTGAATCAAATGAACTGGCTTATAAGAGTCATTTGTAAATGAACTTGACCATGCTGGTCCAAAGATATGGACTTTCAAGTAGGTGTTTGTTTGTTAAATAGAAAAATGAATTGGTTCCCAACCCTAATAATTACACATTTAAATCAACCTAACATTTAAAAATTCAGAATCCAGAATGTGAAATCTATAATAAATGGAACTGTTGACTCATTGAGCATGCAGTACACATCTCGTGTTTAACTTTGCCATTCTTCTCTCTCCCTCGTCCTCCCGCAGGGGTCCATCATTAGCAGCCCCCACATACGGCGCCGAGCCACTTCCAGCCGCGACTGCCCCTCCCGCCAGCAGTCCATCCCCAACTCCTCCTCTCTCCTAGGCTCCATATTCGGCACCAAGCGGGGCAAGTCGCCCTCTCTGGCCACCCAGTCCTCCCACCCCTCCCACCCGACACTAATCTCTCACACCCCGCACCCTACCAACCTGCACCACACGGCCCGTGATGTCGTCACCGTCACTGAGACCCAAGCCCAGATGCACCACGCTCAGTTTTGCCACATGCAGAACCCCCCTCCGTACCACCACCACCATCACTACCACCCCCCAGCGCACATTCAACACCCGCCCCACCAGTTCCACCCCACGCCCGGCCCCTCTTCCTCTCACAGCCACTCGCACGGCCCCCACGGCCACGGGACGCACCGAGACCTGTCGCACCCCACCCACTCCCAGCACGCACCTCACCACCACAGCCAGCCTCCGGCCCCCCCTCCGGCGGCCAGCAGCACCAAGCCCAAACACAGCGGCATCAGCACTGTGGTTTGAGCCCCTCCGCAAACTCTTTCCTCTTGGGAATGGGACCGTTCCGAGCGGGCTGACTGTTGGGCCTCCGTTTAGATTGTAACGTGCGACGGATTGTTGCTGCCTACCAGGATATGAACAAAAAAGGGGCACCTTGACTCACGTTTTAACTCATCCAGCGCCCGTTTCCTCTGGGAAAGGGAGCCACAATGTGTAGCACTGGGGCGGCTAGAACTCCAGTCATCAGTTATTGCTCCAGCTGTAGAGCCCCAGACAAAGCTGCTGCTGCTTCTTCTTTTAGGCTCCATTTTAGAGACTCTCAACCTTCTCGACTCTGGCGGTGAAGCAAAAGCATGCGCAAAAGACCGTGGCAACTGTTTTCTTGTACTTAATTACCTAAATGCATTAACAAATAGCCTGCTTATTAGTTTGCAGAAACTATGTTTTTGCTAGAACAGCGGTTTGAGATAACAGTCTGTCGAAGTCAGTCAAAAGCGAGTGGTGTTCCAGTATTTAATGTAGCTGTAGACCACACATTTCTGTGATATAGTTAGGGGACTATAACGTGCCAATGATTAAAAAGCAGTGACTGAGTTAATCAGGAAAAAAAAAAGAAAAAAAGATTTGCTTTGTGTATGTCGTACATATAGTATTTTGTAAAATAATAATAATATTAGCAGCTATTGTTATTATTGGTATAGGACAAAAATGATCCGAAGCCTCAGATAAAATCTCAGTATTCTCTGTGTACTCACGACGTAGGAGTTACTAGTTTTCACTGATACTGAACTCGGTAGGTGGCCAATTGAACAACGTGGAAATCATTGGTTGCCTTGGGAGTTGGAAGATTCTCCCGGAATCTCCGGCTTGTGTTCGCACCACCTCCTTTGGGATCTACATAGCGCAAACCAATCACAGGGACTTTGGGAAGGGGGAGGGCGGAACAAGGGAGCTCACTGGTGTGATGGATCCTCCACGGCCTCGACTCATCGGTCCCGGCCACTGCTGCAACATGCTTTTATTTTTTTAACTATTTTTTTAGAGATGAATAAAACAATATGAAACAAATGTACATTTGAAGATGTTTATGGCAAAGCCGGTGCAATGAAAAGGCTATTTTGACGTCTAACATTAGGGGGTAGTGTTTGTGTCGGAGGAAAGCAGGCTGATCGAATTCTCTCCCCATATTTTAGAAGCTTAGTTTGTGCTGAGATGTTGATTTTTCTCAGCAGGCTGAGCGTGTGCCCTCTTCTACGTGGAAATGAAGTAGATTTGATACATATTCTTCTGTCAATCCTGTGAGAATGCCTTTCACTTGCTCAGAAACACAGCTAATGTAATGTAATCTTATGTAAACTGCATATTATATGTAGCAGTGGGTCGGATGGATGTGTTCTCACTCGAAACGGATTTGAACATGTTTTTTCACACATATCCCCTTTCTTGGTTCAATTTTTGACTTGTTTTGTACTGTAAGTAGATATAAATGGTGTCGGAGCCGTGATTCGATGTGTTCGTTTTGCGTTTTGACGCTCTTTTAACTCAAGCACAGAGCTTCTGAACAGCACTTGTCTTTGTAAATAATCACTACTTAATGTACAGAAACCACGGCTGAAATGAGCTCGCTCTCTCAGCAGTTACGACATATGCTGTGCGTTGTTTCTCTTTTTTCTGATTTTTTTTTTTTTTAACTAATCATGTGCAATATATATGTTTCGGTTTTGTAAATTCGGTTTGTTTGTTTTTGTTATATCATATTTCTAACATCATATACGTCTGACCCCGTTTTGTTTCTCGCCCACACCGACAACTCGTTCTCCCTGGTCTCTGTTTTACCTACAACCTACAGTCAGGAATGTCAGCTAAAGTACTCTTGCATGTATATTGTACAAAATATTCTCTAGATATTGCATATTTCCAGAGATATTATCAGTGTTACAGTTGACCGTTGTTAAATGAGTGATGATGATGATGATGATGAACATATTAAAATCTGTAGACTTCTCTTCATTCAAACCCTCTTTATCCTGTTTCGCACCAAAATAGAATCAATTAGGAGACATCAGTTTATTGTTTATCTGGGCTTAAAAATTAAACACTGATCGTAATTTATAAAGCAAAATATTAGCCGGTAGCCGAATCGCAATGAAGTGTCGCAAGGGCACGTCCGTATAGTAATACACTGTCAGAAAAAAAGGTACAAAAGCTGTCACTGGGGCGGTACCTTTTCAAAAAGGTACACTTTTGTAACTAAAGGGTGCATATTGGTACCATAATTGTACAAATATGTACCATGAAGGCACCAATATGGACCCTTTAGGTACAAAAGTGTACCATGAAGGTACCAATATGCACCCTTTGGGTACAAAAGTGTACCTTTTGAAAAGGTACCGCCCCAGTGACAGCTTTTGTACCTTTTTTTCTGAGAGTGTAGGAGCTTATGGATAATCTAGCTTAAATCCGCGTCTATGTCATTATCAGATTTCATAACACCTGGCTTGTTCCCAAGATGCACCGAGGCCAGTAATTTGTACAGTACAACATTAATCAGACTAGGACAGTCCATCTCTGTGTACGAATGCGTTCACCCGAAGCCATTTCTGACTAAACAACCGACTGTAAATTCAGAGAGCTGTCAGGCTGTCAGTCTTTTTGTATGTTTTTTTTTTTGTTTTTTTTAGGTTTTTTCACCTTTGTATTGAATGTTTTTAATGGATTTCAGTGCAGTATATTTGTAAATGTTGTGCTTCAGCTTTGTATAGTAGGCCTACTGGACGGTCGAGTCAAAACGTCACAAAGCGTTGCATGCTGATGCCCAGCACCTCTGGTTGAAATGTGAGCTTATTTAAAAATGAAGAAATGTGCTTTCTTTTTATTTTGTTCTTTCTCATCTTTTGTTTGTTTGATTGGTTGGTTTTATGGTTTGTTTCTGTTTTGTTTGTGATGTTGGCTTGCTGTTCCATTTTATTGTGTGCCACTGCATCTCGGCATGTGTATCGTTTGTTTACTCCCTAAAAAGATCATTACACTTCTGTTTTGTTTGTCTGTTTTCTATAAAAAAAAAGCCTGTTGCTGTATATATCAAACCAATGTGAGAAATTAGAAGAAAAAAAAGCATATCATATAGAAATCTATTATGGATGATAAAGGGAAAGTATACGTGTTGGCGGTTTGTTTGAAGTGTACATAGTCTGTATTATACTTTTTTGTTTTTCGCTCAGCCATCGGATTGACGGTGTAGTCCTTTTCCACCTTAAAAAGACTCATATTAACATGACACTGCTTCTGCTACCAAATGTACTTATTGAATTTGTCATAGGATCTTCTTTATTAAGCCGACTGTTACATGACTCTCACCGCCTTTCATGTGCGTCCACTCAAACATACATTTCTTTTCTTTTCTTTTTTTACTACCAAATGAGAAGAGGAGAACTATGGTTTTAATATGCATTCTGTTTTTAAGTAGATGATGAGACCCTATTGATGTTTAACTATAACTGTGACCATGTTGAGAACATGAAATAAAACAATATACCATAAACCTGTATTGTTCTGCATTAAAGCACACATTATGTTGATGTAAATCAATTTGAATGCATGTCCTTAGCATTTTCTGTGGATTCTCAAAATGAATAATCTCTTATAGTTAGATATGAGGCATTAGAACTAGCCTTCAAAACTCTCCAAAGCCTTTGCTGAATTCATCATAAAAGTATGTTTGAGTCAGCAAGGTCGTTGTTTAACATTGTGGTTTTATGAAAGTTTTGGTGGCTCTTAGAATCCTTGCAACAGTCTTTCTCTTTCTAACCTATTTTTAGTCTTCTCAGTATCCTTTATAAACTCTTTTGTTTGAGTTTTTTTAATATCTTTGTTTGTGAATGACAAACTCATGGTAAGTGCTGGAATTGGAATATCAAACAAATCTTGCACTATACGCAGCTGAATTAGACATATTAAGACCAAAAGTATAAAAACCTTTTTTAGATTAATAGATTTATTCAGCAAGGACGATAATGGCATTTATGATATTAAAAATGATTTCTATTTCAAATAAATGCTGTTCTTTTGATATTTCTATGCATCAAAGAATCCTGAAAAAAAAATTGTATTATGGTTTCCACACAAAAAAATGTAGCACCACTGTTTTCAACATTGATCGTAATAAATGTTTCTTGAACAAATCAGCATATTATAATGATTTATGAAGGTTAAGGTGCTGAAAGTACTGCTTTTCCATCACAGGAAAAAAAATAAATTTTAAATCTATTCAAATATAGAAAATTTATTTGAAACTGTGATGATATTTAATAATAATATTTCACAATTTTACTGTTTTTACTGCATTTTTGATCAAATAAATGCATTTTTGGTCTTCAAAAAATGTATATTTTTTAAATTTTAAACCAACCCCAGACTTTTGAATGGAAGTAGGCTATATTTGTAATAAAGATAAGGCTGAACGCTTCAAGATTCATGTTTTCATGTCTGGATAAACTGTTTCTTATGCAAGTCTGACGCTGTGACCTACAGACAGACAGGTGGTGAGAAAGGGAACTGTGCCCTTTTGTCTGTCTGTCTGGCTTGCTGTAGGCTATAAATAGAGCAGCTTTGAGGGCTAAATCCTCGTTGTCAACACCAACAACACTGGGTCGATGCCTAGAAAAGGACTGCAGTGAAAGAGAACCACGAACAACTAATTTATATCTGTTTATTTTTTAATAATATTTGAACGCATGAAATCCACATAAATCTGAGGAACAACTGTGATGAATTCCGTGACCAGTGGGAATTAAATTTTCAGTCAGCATTGAAATGAATAACAATATGTGTATTGCAGCTAAAGACTGACATCTGAAGGGCATAAAAAGAACTGCACCCTAATAGACTCGTGTCGTCATCAATGTGAGACGAAAATGGGTGAAAGGTTTTTCAGACAGTCGTAGGGTGATCAGGGTGAGTGTTCACGTTAAAGATGGGCCTGAACAAACTTACTCTTTTGACAAGTTCGGTCAAGCTTGGGAGAAATTTGTTCTCTGCACGAGTCGCGAAAACTGGAGATTGTGTGCATCGCTTTCAGTCGCGGCGCTACGTTAGATCCAGTGCGAGGAGTTTGGCATATGCAAAAGATCTGTTCCTGGGCAAAGTTAACAAGGTATTGTAAACAAAATTCAGGATATTTTTTTTTCTTTTCATATTTGACTTACCTATTTAAATGTTGAGCACTTGAGTAGGGGGGAAAGCAAGCAATGTATTCATACATATATTGGTTAAATATTCTGTATAAGATTTTGATTTTATATGAATTTTGATTTTATATACATCTTTCAGGCTGAAGTTTTTCCCTACCCAGAAATCAGCAATGAAGAATTAGAGGAGATGAACCAACTTGTACAGCCTGTGGAGAAGTTTTTCAGTGAAGATGGTGGGTACAGATGGTGTGCCTGTTTATTGTGAGCTTTCTGTACATGTTATGACGTATTATATTATATTAACATACTTTAATCTTGTGTCCACACTTGTTAATCAAGTCCACTTGTTTAAAGCTCCAATCTGTAACTTTTTTGGGTTAAAAATTATTCAAAATAATTTTTTGAGCAAGTACAACCAGCCAGTGTTCAAAACTATCTGCTTCCCTAAGCCTGATTCAAAGCGGTAAGCTTGTAATAACTATCAAGCATGCCTTTGCTTCATTACGTCACATCTCTACACTTAAAGAAGAGTCTCAGCTAGTATAAGTTATATTGCGAGTGAAGATGTTGTAGGTGGAGATGTATAGCCTTTTGTCGCAGCACTTAATATAATTAAACATATTAATTTGATGGTGGATCCAGAAAGGTTCAAACGACAATCATCAGTGACAACAAATTCACCTGCTGTAAAATGCAAAAGACTTTGGACTGAGAGTTTGGAAAAAGAGACTGCAAATGGTCTCATGCAAAAACAAGGATTGATATCTAAAGAGTATTGTTAACATGCTCAATTAGAGAACAAAGTATTATTTGCACGGTTTGGCGTGATGATAAGCGATCGTTAGAATTAATCAGCGAGATTTACTGCAATGCCTTTGTATTTTGTAAATGTAATTTGTACAATGGAAATTTAAAATCTTCTTTAAGATTTTTAGATGTTATATTTCAAAAGTTGTAATAGTTTTAACCTAATCTCAGCTTTTGCAGTTTCATGGATTTATTCAAATGACTGAGAAATGTCTTTTTTTTTTTGTACTTTTTTTTGCAAATATCACCTCTAGTTGATTCTAAGAAGATCGATCATGAGGCCGTAATTCCTCCTGAGACTTTAAATGGGCTGAAGGAACTAGGGCTGTTTGGGATCCAGATACCTGAAGAATATGGTGAGACTGACCTCTGACCTCATACGAGAGACTATTTCTAATCTACCGTCAGAGAGTTTGATCTGCTTGTTTCCATGTTTCAAGGTGGTCTGGGCCTCTCAAACACCATGTATGCCAGGTTAGGGGAGATCACTTCTTTAGATGCGGCGATTGCGGTCACACTTGCAGCACATCAAGCCATTGGCCTGAAGGTAAGCGAACAACTTTCTGTGATGCATTGTGGTCCTATATTAACTACTATGTTGTTTGATATTTGAGAGACAATTTACATAACAGCCACTGCATTTTAGGGAATTTTGATTGCTGGAAATGAGGCTCAGAAAGCAAAATACCTTCCCAAACTAGCAACAGGAGAGCATATTGCAGCTTTCTGCCTCACTGAACCTGGAAGGTACCGTAATTCACCTAAGATTTACAACCGATACTTTTTCAGATCTGCCATGATGATTATTTTAAATGAAATGTACTCTTGTGTGTTAGCGGCAGTGATGCTGCATCTATACAGACACGGGCCACGCTGACAGAGGATGGGAAGCACTTCTTGCTCAATGGCACAAAGGTGACCGCTTCAGACAGATCGTTCTGTCTAGCTTAGTGAAATCTCTTCACTGGCTGTGTTTCGATTAAATCTTGTTGTTTGATCTCAAGTTTTGGATTTCTAATGGAGGATGGGCAGACATCATGACCGTGTTTGCCAGGACAGAAGTTGTTGACAAAGATGGTCAAAAGAAAGATAAGATCACAGCTTTCATTGTAGAGAGGGCGTTCGGTGGCATCACCAGTGGCAAACCTGAAGACAAACTAGGCATCAGAGGATCAAACAGTGAGTTTGAAAGATACTCATGATTTGAAGTTTTTCTTTTTCTAAATTTAAAAAAAAAAAATTACCACCAAAGTAATGTACTTAAATAAAAGGTTGGATTTTTCTCTTTTTTTGCATTTGGGTTCTATGTTGTTTAAAAAAAAAAAAGGGAGAATTTTTAGAAGTCCTCGACCACATCTTAAACAGGGGTGCCAATAATTGTGGAGGGCACTGTGTATATATATATATATATATGAAATAACATGAAATAACACTGAGCTATACATTTGTTACAATATTTATGAATCTTCTTTGTTATTATTAGCTAATAAAAATACAGCTGTTCATGTAAGTTCACAGTGCATTAACTAATGTTAACAAATACAAATTAGTAAATGTTGAAATTAATATCAACTAAGATTTTAGAGGATGGAGTATTCTGCCCTACAAAGCAAAAAGGCAGTAACTACGCAGAGTGCAGAACTGAGAAAAATGACTTTTGCTAGGACTTTTTGAAGTTACTGTACAAACGACCATTTTTCTCTAAAACGACACGCATTTAAGATGAGATGTTTTGTCACATAACAAAGGATGCCTTGAATGTCATGAAAATTGTAATAATTAATGCTTTACCAAAACCGCAGTTACTGCCTTTTTGCTTTGTAGGGCAGTATTGTTCTAAGGTAGTTAACTAATGAACCTTATTGCAATGTGTTACCCAATTTATTTATAGATAAAAATGAAGTTAAAAGGGTGTTTGTGCCCTTTTTTGGCACGCTCATTCATTGAATATTTGTACTTTCCGTAGCTTGTGAGTTGTCATTTGAAGACACCAAGGTGCCAATCGAGAATGTAATTGGAGAAGTCGGTGGTGGTTTTAAGGTGATCCAAGCACACAACCAGTGCATTTTGTAATAACACTAAGATAATATAATGTGTTGCATTGACACGTGACGTGTGCATCGTGTTTAGGTCGCTATGAACATCCTGAATAATGGGCGCTTCAGCATGGGCAGTGCAGGTGCAGGGATGATCAAGAAGCTCATTGGTGAGGACATCATTCATTTGCAAATTCTCAACACATGCTTTAAATTGAAATCTCTAAACTATACATCCTTGTCATGCCATGCGATTCCAGAGTTGACATCAGAATATGCAGGCACAAGAAAACAATTCAACAGGAGCCTTTCTGAGTTTGGAATGATTCAGGTACACTTTTAGTCCTATTGAATTATTCTGTTGGTATTATTTGTTCACTTTATTAAGCATTTTATTTGATTTGGACGCAGGATAAGTTTGCTACCATGGCTCTAAATGCGTTTGTGATGGAGAGCATGGCTTACCTCACTGCTGGGATGATGGACCGTCCTGGAGTCCCAGACTGTTCTCTGGAGGCCGCTATGGTCAAGGTGAAGTAACTTGAAATCATCATCCCATAAAGTTTTGAATGAAAAACCTCTCACTGGAGCTGCTTCTGACAGCTGTGTTTTTTCAGGTCTTTAGCTCTGAGGGCAGCTGGATCTGTGTAAGTGAAGCCCTGCAGGTTTTAGGAGGCCTGGGCTTCACCAAGAACTACCCCTACGAGCGCTACCTCAGGGACTGCCGCATCCTCCAGATATTTGAGGTACAGAAGAGTGTTACACTGATATGAAAGGGAAGCACGGCTGTATGTGTAAGCTTTGTGACAAGCTCAGACTTGTGAAGTATAAGGGTGCATGTTATGTGATTATTTGAAATGTATTAGATGTGTTTTGTTGTCTTAATGAAATTACTTTTTTTTTAAATGAATGGCTGCTTTTATTTGTGTAGTAATAGTAAAGAAAATCAGTTTTTGGCCACCAGGGGGCATACTGACAAACGTAAGTTCCAGCACAAACGTGCAAAAACAATTAAATGAGAAATGCATTATATAATTCTGTTTGTTTTCTTTTCTCTCTGTTTGTAGGGTACTAATGAGATTTTGAGGATGTACATTGCACTTACAGGAATGCAGTATGCCGGAAAAATACTAACAGGAAAAATAAAGTATGTAAGAAATGCCATTTTTAATGATTTAAAGGGTTAGTTCACACAAAAATAAAAATTCTGTCATCATTTACTCGCACTTATGTCGTTCCAAACTTTTGTTCAACTTCAGAACACAATTGAAGATCTTTTTTTATGTACCTTCCACAACCAACACTTTGACGCTTCAAAAAGTTAATAGATTGTTAAACTAATCAATATGAATTGAACTGTTTAGTCTGACCGCTTTATAATATATGATGAACAGATTAAATTTAGGGTTTTATTCACATATAAACATTGATCAGTGAACAAAAACAGAATCTCAACCGAAACTGGCTTGACGTGTGAAAATGAACCTCATTGGTTCTCTAGCAAGCGTGATTGTGCTTTCATTTACCATAACTGATTTTTGCATTGATCAATGTTTAAATGTGAATAAAAGCCTAAATTAAATCTGTTCATCATATAATCGAGTCTCTTCAGAAAATATTGGACTAAACCGCTAAATTAGTTTTAGGATCTCTTTATGAACTTTTTGAAGCATCAAAGTGTCTGTTGCGTAGCTGTCAATTGGCTTTATGCACAGCTGCACTACTTCCTGAACTTCAGCCAGCTCCTTTGTTTCCTGTCTGCCATTATTGGACAAACTTCTTAATCCGGGTGTGTCTGATTATTGTTGTGACTACAGAGGTCACGCACATCTGAATCAATCAGTTTGTCCAATAATGGCAGACAGGAAACAAAGGAGCTGGCTAAAGTTCAGGAAGTAGTGCAGCTGTGCATAAAGCCAAATGAAGGGACAGAAAACTCAGATTTCATTAAAAAGATCTTCATTTGTGTTCTGAAGACGAACAAAAGTCTTACAGGTTTGGAACGACATGAAAGTGAAGAGTAAGACATCTGCTTTATTTAACGTGCAATTGTCTTCTCACAGGGAGATGAAGAAGGGAAATGTGGGGGTGGTGTTTGAGATTCTGGGAAAGAAATTGAAGGACTCAGTGGGGAGGACGGTGGACTTTGGACTGACCGGCAAAGATGGCGTTGTACACCCTAGTCTGACGGTACCGAACCAATGCTGCTTGTTCTCTATTTGACTAATCAGCAATAATCATGTGGTCATGAAATGAATGTACGGACTACGTCATGGTAATAATAACGTTGATGTCCTGTAAATGTCCCGTCACCCTCACGTCTGATCTCGTCTAGTTCTCCTGCAATTGACATGTCATCAGGCGCAATGCTTCCCTCTGATCTCTCCTTTAAACCCGTGTGGTCGAGTAATTGAGCCCAGCTTGTTTTTCGGCAAAGTGATGATGTCATCATTCTCCCACAGGAGAGCGCCAAAATGTTTGAGCAGAACGCTGCAGTCTTCGGCTCTACTGTGGAAAACTTACTGTACCGATATGGAAAGGTAATAAATTAAAGTAGTTATGTTATTTTGAAACTTTGCAGCTGGTTTGTTTTTCGATAAATTAAATGTATTTGTTGTATAATTGTTTTTACAGATTTTTACTTCAGCATTTACTATTTGAATTTATTTTGATCACACTGGATGATGGATATTGTCATGCCGAAGAAAAACTCTTTCTGTCTGTATTAAAACTGCTATAGTAAGCCAAGCTCATAGTCACCAGTCCCATCAATCTCACATTTCCCCCACCATCAGTTTTTAATCGGCGTTTGTCCACATTCCTTAGATGCTGCCAGAAAATGAAAAATGACCATTCGTTTAACGTACAGCCATGTTATTTCTTTCGGTTGCTATCGTAACGCACAAGGTAATTAGCGTGGGCCGTTAGCGCTGCTGGGACCTGATCTCTGGTCCCTTCTTTCCTGTTAGGCTGAGGTAATGTTCATGTGTGACACAGCTGGCCTCACTCTCTCTTTTCTGAATGAACGTCTGTGTGGCCGTGCTGTTGTATTCAGACTGCAGTCACAAGAGTGCAACCTGGAAGTGCTTCAGATTTCCACACAAGTTTTTTTCTTTTGGAGCGCACAATATTTCATCTTCATTCATTCTCATTTGCAGGACATTTTTAAAGGAATAAATCCCCCCGCCGCTGTGTTTTTGCCTACAGGCACAGGATGTGCTTGTCTCTTTATGAGTATTACCGTAAGGACGGCCTTGATTTGTCCGATACTTTGAATGACCTAGATCAACTGAAACGTCTTGAAATATGATATTCAGACAGTGACAATCATTCTAGATAGAGACAAATGTGAGCTTAAATGTTTATTAACATTTTATATGATAGTTTTTTGTAAATACATTTATATATTTATTTACAAAGCTAATCAACTAATTTAGTAAGATTTGTCTGGTTGTGGACACTACCGTTCAAAAGTTTAGGTCGGTAAAATGTTATTTATTTATTTTTAAAGAAATGAATACTTGAATTCAACAAGGATGCTTTATATTTTTCAAATGAGTAAAGATATTTATAATGTCACAATATTTATTTCAAATAAAAGCTGTTATTTTGAACTTTCTCATCAAGCAATCCTCAAACTATCACGATTTTTTCACAAAAACTGTTTTCAACATTGATGATAGTAAGAAAGGTTTCTTGAAAACCAAATCAGCATATTAGAATGATTTCTGAAGGATCATGTGATGTGATACTAAACAATGGAGTACTGGCTACTGAGAATTTAAAATCATAGTAATAAATGACGAAAAATTAAAAAAAAATTTTTTGCATTAAGACCTTTAAAAAATAAACAAATAACTCTAATATCACAGATTAAACAGTTGAAACTTGGTCTGTTTCAGACAATCGTTGAGGAGCAGCTTGTGCTGAAGAAAGTTGCAGATGTATTAATTAACCTCTACGCCATGACAGCCGTCCTGTCCCGCACCAGTCGCTCCATCAGCATCGGCCTGCGCAATCATGACCATGAGGTAACAGACTCTTAAACCTTCCTCACTGAGGTCACAAGGTCAGGCAAGTGAAGGAGCTCGTAACCTGGACCTGTAAACTGGTTTACAGTATTCAGACTTCTCTGAAGAAAGAGGGTAGATGTCTCCACTCTCCAGTGTTCAGTCAAAGCATTTAAACGAAGGATGCGGTGGTGAACGAGTGCAGATTAGGGCAGGAAAAAAAGAAATGCTTCATTAACTGAAATGAGAGAGGACTAAACTTGAAAGGATCATTTTAACTTTTTTCTGGATGTTGCAATGTGAAAAATCATGCATTTCTCCTCCGAAGTCCCGGGAGGCATTTCAATAAGCTAAATTGTAATTTATAGCAGCACAGCGGTTTTGATTTTGCATGAGAGAAACAATTGATGGAAACAATTTTATGACTTTTTTTGATTTAATGCTGATTGCAATTGGCTTTATCCAGCTTTATAGGATGTTATACTTGCTTTTAAACATACACTGCTGTTCAAAAGGTTGTTTTTTTTTTAATGTTTTTGAAAGAAATCTCTTATGCTCACCAAGGCTGCATTTATTTGATTAAAATCAAATACTGTAATTGTTATTCCACCCCTAACTTATTAATATACATGTTTATGTGTATTTTATTCGTTTTTAGTACAAGCAAACCCTGGTTTTGTACATAGTCTTATATGTGGTCGCACTTGTGGACCCTGTTAAACCTTGAAATAAATAAATAATCATAAAAAAAAATACTGTAATATTGTGAAATATTATAGCAATGTAAAATCACTGTTTTCTGCATCCTCTGCATCTTTTTTCTGTGGATTCTCCTTTTGTAAGGTCACAGAGTTTTGCCAACAAAAAGTCATTATCAAGGAAATTTGCTTGCACATTAATTTCGGAATCGTTAACGTAAACGACCTTGTTAAATCTCCACTGGCTTTCAGGTGCTGCTCACCAACACTTTCTGCAAGGATGCTCATTTCAAGAACAACTTCTTGTTGACTCAGCTTCAAAAAAGTGAGTAAAACGCACAGCTTTAATTGATACCAGCCGCCCTCGTTTTATTGCATAGCAAGACAAAGCGCTTGCACATGTTGTAGAATTTCCTCCACAACCTTACAAACCATAAGTCAGTCACTAACACTTGCATACGCTCTTCATGCTGTTCCAATTACCATCCACCTAATAACTCTAGTCAATGCGATGCATTAGATCAGAGCGTTCAGATTTAGTGAATGATTGGGGTGTGTGCTCTCCACAGATTCCCCGGAGAACAACGATGCCAACATAAAGAAGATCGCCCAGGAGGTCTTAGCCAAGAGGGCGTATGTCTGCTCACATCCCCTGGACAGGACCTTCTGAAATGGCTCTCGTTGTCCGACAGGCTTCCCACAACCCTGCGTCTCAGTTTAACCCCAAAGAAGTGCAGTAATGATTGAGCCTCACTTTATAATGTTTTAGTTCTTTTTATGTCGGTTTTCCATGACATACTGCCACAAGTGCTTCTTAATATTGGTTGAAGGACATAAAATCAAAATCTTGTTGAAGTAATACCTTTAGTGCACATGTAAGGTGATGTCTTTGTTGGTTCTCATCTCTATGATGTTTCTGCTGTGTTTGAAGTGGGCACTTTTCATTGGCGTCTGTGGGCCTTCAGCAGGTTTCTGGGAGGAGGAGTGTATGCTTGGCTCTTCATCCATGAACGGTAAAGCAATTCGCTTGTGCAGGATTGAATGTGGCCTCCAGTAATCTCTGTTAAAAAAATCTAATTGTTAGTGTCAAAGCAGTTTCGTTGTTTGTTTTTTCTCATTTATGCGCTCCTGAGTTTATATTTGGTACTCTGAATGGTTCACGTTCCTTTCCAAGTTGTGGTATATTAATTTAAACCAGTACAAATGAAAGCACAGGGATTATTTCTAACCGGAAATGGAATTTGCTGTACTGGGATGAGAATCTTGGAATTGCGTTTTTGTCCCAGCTCAGGCTGTGGTTTTGAAAGGGTCCCGGAGCAAATGGAACATTGGCCTCCTTCTCTGCTGAGCTGGTCGTTTCAGAAGACTGGACCACAGAAATAACGGGAATGGGCTGAAGAAAAAAAACAGGGATTAGATCTCGAATAGCAAACTGTTTTAAAGTATACTGAAATATGTTTGTTGAGAGTTTATCAAGAAAATATGTACATCAGTATCAATATTAACTTATCTAACAATAAAACTTGCATAATTTTAAAAATGATATTTGACTGTCATGCATATTTTTATTTTCTGCGGTTATCTAATTTTTTTGTACTTTTAAAGCCATTCCTGGCTTTTTCAGAGAATATTTCATGGGCTTGTCACTCAGTATGTCTTGTAGCTTATCCAGGCCTGCTCGCTTCATGTGACATTTGAACTCGGGAAGTCTTCCTCTTCCTGTTAAACTCTCGCCATGCAACATCGTCCTCTGGCACCTGTTGTTCTGAGCATATGCGGCCTGGAGCTCGTCCTCATGGAGAGCCTCTCCTACACGAAATACAAGGTAAAACAAGTCGCTTTGGGATCAATGATCAAGGATGCTCATGGTTATAACTGTACATGGCTTTCTGGAAAACTCAATTCTGATTGGTCAGTCTCTGCTAGTAATGGGGGCTTTTGAAACAATGCTTCATGAAATTTCTAAACATTTATGAATCTTTGTTTCGAATCAGTGGTTTGGAGCTTGTTTCAAATTTACCAAGTCACTTGATTTCAGCAAACAAGGCTGTTGCATCATAGTTTTAAAACTTCTAAATGTTCGTCGCTAGAAACCGATGATATGGTTTTTCCCATAAACTATTGTCCTAAGTTTAAATTATCTCAGGTCAGTTTTATAATATAGGTTCATGAATTTTAATACTTTTGTGTGTGTATAATAAAAAAGGAGAATGTTATTTAATTGCTTCTAGTTGAATATTATTGTTACTTGCTCAACGTTGTGTGTGTTTGTTTGCTGATTTTAGCTTGCTTCTTGCTTAAGCGCTTTTGTCCATTTAGGGCTACTATAGACACATGGTGCCGCATAATGGCTATTTTAAAATGGCCAACGTTTTATAGATAGAAATGGCTAATGCTAAGGTTATAAAACCATAACGGTTCATAATGTAAGTCTTTATTCACCACTGAAAACATAGTTATGTATATGATATTGCATTTCTGTCAACAGATCCTCCTAAATATTACAAAATGCACCTTTAAGTTGGATTTTTAAAAAGTTTAACTTCTTGAGCACCACATTTTTAGAACAAGTTTCATATGAAAAAAATAATTCTGTGTGAATGGCCACTAATTTATAATTCTTTAGTGGGAGCTTTAAGATAGTATACCGTCACAATTATAAAAAATAGACATTTCCACGCAAATCAATAATTCATGTACATGTATTTACTGATTTGATTGATCAAACATGATTTGTTCATGTTAAAAAGTTACCAGTCAAATGGATGCTCAATGGGAGCTCTGGTCCAAACTGTAACGGGGGCTTGGAGTAAAGTTCAAAATCCTGAAATCTCTTGATCCATGGCAGCCCGGATCTGGAAAGCGTTGGCTTTAGTTTATTCCCATGGAGAATGTTTTCTCTCCAAGACTGTGAACCAATTGGCATAACAAATTAATGCTTTTAATTTGAGAAGCACACACACAACACATGCAGTTGCTTAAATGGGAGAAACTGCTAATGATAACATCAGTCTGTCATCTGTAAGGTTCACATTTTTGGGTGCTATGCTCATGTCCAGCAGGGAACAATAAGTTACAGACTGTGAAAGGCAGATAAATCAATTTCAGGCAAGCACATGCTTCTAGATAACGCTTTGTGTCCCATGAGTCAATCAGCATTAGCCCCGTCACTGTACTTGTAACTAAATACTGTTTTAAGCTTTGGGGATCTGTAAAGAGGTGGGCAAGGTAGGTAAACATCAGTAAAACTCTATCTTCTTGCTTAAGCTCTTAGGAATGCCTATAAAGTTGACATTGCACTGAGAGAGAAACATGACACAGATGGGGGTAATGGTGGCATGGCATGACCTCAACCGCACCATTCTCAGCTCCTCTATCCGAGCATCGTCTGGACGCTTTGGGTGCTGGTTAGATTCAAAACTGCTCTTAAAACCTGGGTAAGAGAAGCGAATGCAAGTGGGGTCCTATAGAAAGAGGATAAATAGCCACATTTTACTTGGTTATGCATTGCTAAATAAAGGCTTAGAAGTTGTTTTATGTATTTCATGTAAATTGATGCCAACCTTTGAAAGTTCTCTGTAGACTAGTTCTCCACTCTGAGTTAGAGAGTTCATTTGAACATTGTGGTGATGGATGATCTGATCATCAGTTACATTATCCGAAAAAACATTAAGCTTTGATTTTTGCAAGTTGATACTCGCCCTATGGACCTCTTCGATATTTGCCTGAAATAAAAACTGCCTTTAATCAATCGCTGACTCAGTTTTTGAGACTATAAACTTTTTCAGTAATTCATTACCTGAATGAAGTTTTTCACATTATTGCCTTCATACTGTTTCCATTGTAAATATTCTGTGTTGAAATTGTCTAGAGGTATTCGCGTTCTCATTCCAATGTTAAGATGATCAGGTGTATCCTGAGATTCCTGGGACTCTGTCGCCATCCATAGCTCTTTTCTCCCGAGATCCGGTCCAAACTCCTTGCTTAAACTGAGAAGCATGTCGGGTGATGGGAACAGGTTGAGGTGCACTGCTTCCTGGAGTTTCTTTGCTTGGCGGATGTGGCTAATACTGATTAGTATACAGGTTAGTTGCAAACATTTAAATTGTCTGGCACAATATCTTTGTATTTCACAACATTTGTTCATCCAGGTTTTGCAGATATAGCAAATGCTTATTTGTGAAGTATATTTGTACTTGTCAACATGTTGAAATTGTAGTCACACCAAAATACTCTACTAATCCAAACTCTGTTCTTCCTTAGTATAACCTACTGAGAAAAGAAAAAATGGACCACGCTAGAACCTGTAAGGCAAAGAAGATGTGATTGGGTGTAATTGCAATTATACCGTTTCATGGCTTCAAGACAGGAACGAGGAACCGTATTTCTGATAAACACCAGAGGCTCCATCATAATGGTCTCAAGTGGCCTCAGAAGGCAAATCGGACTCAGACCCACGTCAATCATGTCATACAGTCGCTTTGAGAAACTCAATCCTGAGTTATACAGCACAGTCACCTGTTCCTCCTCATCTCCATCCAACCTGGAAAAGGTCAGTTCGGTCTGAATGAGCTTCAGAAATGTTTGCTTTGCTGTATATTGGTAAATGTTGTGCACATGTGGGAGCATTTTAAATGATGACTTTCTTACTTCATAGGCACTGTAGTCCACAGTCTTTTGACTGCTTGATCCTTCAATCCTTCCAGAACAAGGAGGTGTAGAGCCGTATCCATCAAATGAAATCCAGTGAGAATATTTAGCCTTTTGTTTTCTTTTTCCTTGGCACTTATCTTATGACCAGATAGGACCCTTTGAATAGTTTCCTCTGGATAATGACTTAGTTGGAATGCATCTGCATTAATTTGTTGAATTTCGGATGTCAGTTTGGCTAAGATGCAAGTATTATTATACTTAAAGACATAAATGATGCGACCAAAAGGACAATCTTCTTCATTGCCATCTTTAGGATGGAGGGGGTAAGCTATCTGCACCTGGACTTTTAGTTGGGTGTCCGCTTCGAGATAATGACCCTCTGGCATTGCGATATCTGAGGAAATCTTAAAAGAACTTCTTTGTTCATTTTTCCCAGAAGCAGAACAATGAATGGGCAATGTCAGCTTCAAATATCTGCATCCTCTGAGAAGATCTGAAAGATCTAGTTTTGCTATTCCATATGGATCACGGTGTTCATTATCTGCCTTTAAGGCATTATGAACAGTCCATAGATCTACACTTGCTAGTTTGGCATCATTGGGGTCGGTCCCAAAAATAGCGGGTTTGCTGGACGGTTTTTCGTTTTTTCTATCCCGATCATGAACTTCGATCTCCATTGGTGGACCTCTAAGAAACTCAAAAAGCTTTCCAGGACTCTCACCGGTAAAAATCACATTCACATCCTTAAAGTAGATATCAGCGTTGTGATCATGGCCTTTGGTTCTGTAAATAGGCTTGTTGTGGAACTTGTACTGGCAGTAGACAGGATGGCATTTTTCCTATTAAAAGATGAATTTGATTATTCCTCTAATGTAATATACTATTAATGTTGAGTAATGCAACTAATCATTTCTGACATGGCATACCTTCAGTACATGGAAAGGGACGGGAGATGATGGCAGAGAAGCAGATAAAACCGTGATGACTAGTGGATTGAGTTCAGCCTTTAGCTGCTCTGATACAAGTGGCTGATCCAGAGTGACATTCCAGAATCCCTCTTTCACCTCTCCGGAACTGAATTCCAGGTAGTCAATGAGTGTCATACTCCCTAGGATGAAGACACAGTACATGCCAGCCAATGTTTAAAAGATATATTACTTGTAGGTCTGGTTTCACAGACAGGGCTTGGATTAAGCCAGGGTTAGGCCTTAGACTAATCAGGACATTTAAGTAGCTTTTATAAACTTGCCTTGACTAGTGTGCTCTCCTGAGATAAAACACTTTGTTTTCTGCAGTTTAGTCTGGGACTATCCCAATTCACCCCTTGGCCCTACCCCTTGTTTTTGAGTGTACCCCTTGCCCCTTAAATATTATAAATATTCCCCTGAAATGGAACAGCCCTTTATGAGCCCGATATGTCATTAGTCGCCGGCGATAGCTCTGCCGTTACGGAGTTTTTACAGGATTTCTCCATGACGATGACTGACAATCAGTGCAGCTGCTCTTAACTTTGAGGAAACATGATGATTATAACACTCCTTCCTTGAAATGTATGTCTTTTCTGATTCGGAAAGGTAATTTATTATACCATTTTTCTATTTAAATGACTATAGTATTATTATAAGAGTAAATAAAGTACATGGTGGTATCATCTCGCGCTAAATTTAATTGTTTAACCGTTTGCAAAGCCATCTCGCCGGCGATTTGCGACGCATTCTGTGAACTTTCTCGTAGCCCTCCGTTTGGAGTGTGCCTCTGAAAAATATGTTTCAAGGGCTATGTAGCCCTACCACTTCGCCTCAGCAAGAATCGGGACACCCTACCCCTAGACGTGAATGGGCCAAGGGGTGAATTGGGATTGAGCCTTAAGCTTTGTCTGTATAACTGGGG